GAGGCTTAAAAATTTGTGTATTCCTACTGTAAAGCATCCTAACCTCATTTATTTTGTGCAATATTTAGGATATTGTCAATTAAGGATTACATTCTTTTGTTACACTTATATTATGTTTATATGCATGATTATATGGTTGTATTTTGGGCCTTGAGATTATTATAAAAGTAATTGAATGATTTAGATAAGGCCATAATACTGGTGCAAGTATAAAGAAAATTGTCAAACTATTTTATTTGAAGTTAAGTGATTAATGCAATACTAAACATCCCCCTTCTGTTTTTTATATTAAAGGGATCAAGGAGTGAAAATGAGAATTTGTTATGATTGAGTGCATATGGTGTGTTACATAGGTAGTCCCTAATCTATTGAGAGTTATCTAAGTGTTAGAAGTAGCTTTTAGCACATGAGTAGGGTTTTGGACACCCTTGTGTTGTGAAAAGTTAAAAAAAAATATGCTTGAATGTCCATCTTCTGTGTGTGAAATTTGTTGGGAATAAAACACATGCTATTAGCTAGATCTCAAAAAGAGCTTTTTGTAAATACATAAATTCCCTTAATTGGATGTCAGATGAAGAAACAGAACACGTTAAAAATCCTCCTCTACTATTGTCAAATGACACCGGTAAATGTTATCAACTGTGGTGCCTTGCATAGTAAGGAGTGTGTTGTGGGGCACTGAGCTTATGCCGTGGCATTTGCAATGTTGTTTTGATTTATATGAAAATGCAATTTTTTAAATCTTTTTGGTATCCCATGCTTCCATATTTAATTCTACTTTGATTTTAGTTTGTAAAATTATATTTGAGTACTCATTTAAGTTTTAAAACTTGGGATCTCATTAATGCAAATGTGTCAAATTTGGTAATTTAATTGGATTAGTCCACTGATTACCTTGATAATGGTGGTAATTGAAGATTAGTAAGGGCAACCTTACACCAGCCTAACTTCCTCATTTTTTAAAATTCATATTTTGATTTCAAAGCACAAATTACCAAGCAAGTAACAGTAAAAAATTAACACAATCAACAAGTGGAAAAGTCCCTACACTAATGCTTTACATCAAGAGGGGAAAAATGGTAAACAAACTTACTATCGAGAGGAAGCAAGATACCAACAACTTAGTGTATTTGAGTTAAAGAAGAAGACTTATTTATCTCGCCTTTGTGCAGGTTGTTAACAATGAAAGTTGAAATCCCTCAAGATGGGAGTAAAAATGTCAGTCAAAATTTGATCGAAGATGAGGATGTAAAGTAGAAAGTGAAGACCTTGATGAAGATAAAGATGGAGAGGAGAAATTGAAGATGAAAAACAAATCTCAATGGTTGATTTCTTCTTTTAAAAAAACATGTTGCTCTTTCTTCACTATCACATGCAAACTAACCACTTTTTTAATGTTTAAATCGAGAGTATTTTTATCTTTTTTGCATTTTAGTTATTTTCACTTAAGTCTTGGAGGACTAAACTAAGGTTTTAAATTGTTTGGGGAGTCCTTAGTAATTAAATGTCTTCACAAATCCTTAACTGAAATTCTGTCTATAATATATTACCTATATATAGTATATAATATATAATATTTAATTTAGAAATTTGAATATAATCAACTCCATATGTCCCCTTTTCTTCTTCTTCTAAATCAAACTCAAAGTCACTAGACGATTCTTCCTTTCCTATGTTCTTTTTTATTATCTTTGTATGATGAATTTATAATATACTAGTTCATTTAATTTTTAATCAATATATTCCTTTTCATTTCTAGTTTTTTGGTTATGCTTCAATTAGATTGGACTAATGCATGTATTGATTTCAATATTATTAATATATTGTTGTATTATATTTTAGTTGATAATTTTTTTCCTTATTATGTATTTTAGTTGGTAAATCAAGTTGTACATATGTAGACTTTAATAATCATAAACTTACAAGATTTTTAGAGCTTCTTATACAAGCCTATTTAAAAACTCTACTTTTTAATATACTTTTAAATAAGCTTTTAGAACAGGCCAGGCTTTAAGTAGATTTAGGATTGAACTATAAAAAAAAGTCTAATATAGGCTTTAGCTTTTAAGTTAGGCTTAGGCCTTTAACTTATCATACAGATTCATGTTTATTTGACTAAAACTTAGCTCGGCCTAGCTTATTTCCTCCTATACTTATGAGTATGAATTACTCTAGATATATATATTATTAATATATTTTTTAGCCCAGTTGAAAATTGAACAAAGTACACTTTTTTTTTTGTTAGAGCAAATGACACTTTAGTTTTGATCTTCTATTCTTTCATGTATTACTTAATAAAGGATGTAATTGAAAATATATATATAACACCTATTCAATATCTTATACATCGGATCAAGAAAATTTTTTAAAGAATGACTTGTAATCCTTATAACTACTATTATAAGAACCGATTGAACTAGTTGGTCTGATTGATTGAATCGAGAACTGGTTATAGGTTTGGTTCGATTACACCCAATGATCGCTTATCCCACGAACTATTCATGAATTGATTGAACCACCTGCGAATTGACCAAAACTAGTAAAATCGGTGAGAAATTGGTTGAACCGGACATGTTACTTTATTATTATTTTTATTTTTAATTCATACTTCTAAAATATAATTTATATATATTTATATCCAATAAGCATTATGAAACGAAAGAAATGCAAAAAATATGTATGAATTATGTGTGTGTGTGTGTGTGTGTATTTTAAAGTTATAAATTATAAATTATGAAATAATTATATATTTTGGGTGAAAATGATGTAATATTGATAGATATTATATTTTTTATTGCATATTATCTTTTTTGAAATTTAAATATTCATTATTCTTACTATATATAATTATTTTTTCAATTTAAACATAAAATATTTAAAATATATTAATTTATTTATGATCGGTTGGATCATGATAATTTAAACTGTAGTCTGATCATTGAACCGTGATTCAATACCTCAACTGATTCAATAATCGATTTAATTTTCATAACTTTTGTTATCACTAAAATTCAATGAAATAGCAGCTGTACTTCTTAACTGAAGTTAGTTTAGTTGACTTTACATCTTCTGAATTCATGATATTTGTTTAATGTCACTCAATTGTTAACGGCAGTGTTTTGTGGATGGCATAATTGATTGGTGATTAAGTGCATGTTTGGATATATCAAATAATTAATTTTAAAAATAAAAATCATGATTTTGTAAAAATATTGAAATACCTCTTTAAGTATATGAAAAAATTAATCATAAACCCAACATTATAGTTTTCTTAAAAGTATTCAAATACCTCTTTTATATGTTAAAATCGGTTGTGACTCTAAAATAATAGTTTTTTTTAGAAATATCCAAACATACTGAACATGTGAAAATTAATTATGACTCAAAATCATAATTTATAAAATAGAATTTATATGATTTTTGATAAATTTTTATGAAAGTATAATTGAAAACTAAATTAAAAAAATAGTTGTGTCAGTTTGGATAACATTTGGAATCAATTTTATAGGTCAAACCCATAATTTTGTGAAAATATTTTCAAACATCCTTGTTATATGTTAAAATTAATTATAAATTTAAAATTATATTATTCTAAAAATATCCAAACACTCATTATACATGTTAAAATTAATTATAAATTAAAAATCATGATTTTTCTTAAAATATCCAAACAACTCCTATAGATGTTAAAATCACTTATGAACAAAAAAATATATGATTTGTGAAATAATTTGTATGATTTTTGGAAGATTTTTTGAAAACATATAATTGAAAAATTGAATTGAAAAGTAGGCAATAATAGCTTATGAGATAATTGCAATTTTAGGTTGATAATTGATTTTGACATGTATAAAAGTATTTAGATATTTTTAAGAAAATCATGATTTTTGGTTTATGATTAATTTTAGCATGTATAATTAGTGTTTGGATATTTTTAAAAAATTATGATTTTGAATTCATAATTGATTTTAACATGTAACATGGGTATTTGAATATATTTTCACAAAAATGTGGTTTTACCTTATTTTAATTTTGCTTTTCAATTTTGATTATTAATCATATGCCACATAAAATAATATATTATATTTAAAATTAATTATATTAATTAATTTTTTTATGGATATCCAAACAGGTCCTAACTTATAAAATAACCACAATTTTGAGTTTATAATTGATTTTAACATGTATAAGAATATGTGAATATTTTTAAGAAAATCATAATTTTATGTTCATATTTGATTTTGGCATATAATAGAGGTGTTTATATATTTTTAAAGAAACCATGATTTTGAGTCAATAATTAATTTTGACATGTAATAGAAGTGTTTGGATATATTTTTATAAAAATTATAATTTTACCTAAGTTTTAATTTTACTTTTTGATTTTGCTTAGAATCAATCTTCGATCATATTAATCAATTTTATAAATCAATTATATACAACTTAACATGATCGATTATACTAAAAATCAATCATATTATCAATTTTTTCATAATAAATTTTTTTATGGATATCCAAATACACCCTAAAGAGTTACACATGTGTATATTTTGAAACTCCGTTAGAAACTTTGTTGTTAAACTTTTGAGAGGATTCAATATTTGATAAAGATTATGAACATAAAAAATACTTGTTAAAATAATAATTTTAATTGTTAATTTATTAATATTTATTTATTATAAATCATATTAAAAAATTTTTTATGGAATTGAAATTCTCCCTATTAACAATCAATGATGCAGCTTTTGACTTATCATTATATGATGAGATAACGTAATTAATATGTTTTGTTTCTCTCAGGAAAAGAGAATATACCGAAAAAGTTGAGCCAGAAAATGGATGGATTTAACCCATATGGGCTGTACCCTTATGGGCTCAGAAAAGAGAATATACCGAAGAAGGCCTAATTCCTCCGTTGACAAAGTCTGTTTCCGAAATTGCCCTTTGAAATGACGTTATGGCGGTGCTGCTGGTTGTTTGACAGATGGAACCGTGTTACTGTTTCCCTTGCCTGCATCACGACAACCAACGAGCTCCGTCTTTTTTCGATAATGGTGACAAGCTGAGATCGAGCCCTGACTGACTCCACCGGCTGTGCCGGTCACTTCTCCACCTTCCGATCACTACAGTTCCACACTCGCCACTGTAGTGCGTGCTTCTCGGTCCGAAGCACTGAGGTTATAGTTTTTTAACAGTTACGACTTCCTGACTCTTTTTTTTTTTTTGGGGACCGCATTGCCCTTTCCCTCCCATCATTCTGCAATTGGAAAAAGGTCCCGATTCATTTTTCTCCTTTTCATTCCGTGATCATTCCACTCTTCTCCGTGTCTGAACTCTGCGGAGGAAGAAGGCAGGGAAGAAAATAAAGAGACTTGCAATGGATTTCGGAGCTGTCACCGCTAAAAAGTTCTCGAACGGCTATGGCGTCCCTGGAAAGTCTGCATACGACGGTGTTTTTGCCTCGCCAGTGAAGTTTAGAGCTCCTAGGCTGGCCTCCACTTTTGAAGATTACAGTGAAATTTTTGGTGGTTCGGAAGCTTCTATAGGATCCTCGATTCCAGTTCTTGAAGTTCCTGAGCTCAATGACACAAGAACTTTGCACGACGTTCAGCGCTCCAAGCTCGATTATTCGAAGGTCTTCGGAGGGTTTGGGAATCTGGATGCTGCCGTACCATATGAGGAGCTGTTTGCTGAGTCTAAGAATAAAGACAGTTTCCCCGAGGGAGCATCGTAAGTTAGCTTATATCTTTCTCATTAGGATTTATCGTGGAAGGAACTTCATTCACACGGCTGTGCGCCTTGGTATATACTTGAAATCAATAATGTTTGTTAACCGCCAGTGTAATTTTCTGTTTCTTGTTTCTGTGATTTCGTCATTTTTGTCGCTTATGTGATTCTTTCGCTGGAAAACTGCATTTTCTTCTGCTCTGGATTATTTGTTTTTCCTTCCTGGTTGTACTCTCGCTCCATTATGTTTATGTGAAGTGAGTGGACAGTTATAAAATTCGTAACTGTGTAGATTAGTAATTACATATATTATTTTAAAAGAAAATTCACAACCCAGGGAGACAGCTTCGTGGAATTTCATTATCCCCTCCTTCATTGCTTATATTCTATGTCACCATTTAAGGAAGTCATGCTTGTGAAGGTTTTAGCCGGATTATTCCGAAATTTAGATTGTTGCCCAAACACAACCTCTCTTTTCTTTTTTATTCTTTTAAAAGAACTTCCTTCTTGTTTTGTCATTCTATTTGTGGTGACTTTGATCATTGTGAAATTTTGTTTTATTTTCTTCACTGGATGGTGTTTTGTGTGACGTTAATATTCTAATCTTTTAAAGCATTTTCAATGTTTCCTTCACCAAGTGGAGTGTGATAAAAGTTGCATGCCTCTAGGGGCTAGAAAAATTTACACACGCACACACAGAGACACGAAGCAAAAAACATTCTGAAGAAGAGGAGGAAGAAATATTTAGCTGTCTCAAAGCTGGAAGAACAAGTTGCAAGGAGACTTTAAAGTTTATTTTAATATGCAAACTAGTTTGGTGTCATGAGAAGATGAGTGCTTACGATGCTCCTTAAAAGTGATTCAGATGTGTACCTTAATAGTTTTCTTGACTTTTTTATTTTGTAGTAGCCATGATAAAGGAGGAAAGCGATCTAGCAAGGAAGATTCTTCTAATTGTTCAAAGCAGGTCCCACTGGTGTCTCAAGAAACATCATATGGTGCCAAAAAAATCAATATGTCATATCACAAAATGAACCAGGGAACTGGAAACAGAAAAAATGGCACAACGCACATAGCTCAGCTCCATGCTGTCCCTGCTTATACTTGCTTAATTGAAGAAGTCAATCCCTTGAAGATAAAAAGAGATGACCAGTCAATACCAGAATTGCAGCATGCGTATCCTGGTAGTGATTGCCCAGAGGGAATTAAAAAAGGGGAACAGTGCACGAAATCGGTTAATGATCCTACACCTGAAGGTGCTATGAAAGAGTCTTCCAAGGGCAGAATCAGAGTTCAAGATAGTTCTGATTCAATTGATATGTTTTTCAATGCATGTGAGGTTAGCCATAGCAGTGACAGTGGTATGAAACAATCTGAAGTTGCTGCTGGTGCTGAGTCACCAGGACACTTTGATGACATGATAGATTCAAATTCAGAGGCAGCTGCCTCTGTAGCTGCTTTAAGGAAGGCAATAGAAGAAGCTCAAGAAAGATTAAAAGTTGCCAAAGATTTGATGAAAAGAAAGAAAGAAGGTTTTCCTAATCGCATAAAACGAAGGCTTAATAATGACTTGAAAGCTGAAGAGAAGAAGGAGGACAAATTTGCCCATAAAACAATGCATGAAGGGACTAGTTTGGGTCAAACATTTGGCCAAATGGATGTTTTGCCACAAAAGTCTTCTTTGACTAGAAAGGCGATGATGAGAAAAGAGCAAGTAACCTTAGATCTCAGGGCTGAAGAAGTGTTTTTAGCTAAAGAAGCGGTGAGAGAAGGACCAGAGAAACTTGAATCAACTCTAGCTGAACATAGTAAAGAAGAAATTGGACTTAAAGAGGCTGCTCATGAGGAAACACTTTTTGAGTCTAAAGATGAAGAAAATAATAAGGAAGTGTTATACACTGTAGATGATTATGCCTTTGAGAAGCAAGATGAATCTCGCCGGACAATAGAAGTGTTTGAGGGACCTTGTGAACCAGAGGCTAATGAAGAAAAAGTCAATGTAGATCATGAGGCAGGTCAGTATGAAGAACTTGTGGATAAAAAGATGTTTATGAGTGAAGAACTTGTAGATGACACTATGTTAGCTCGAGAAACACTTGATTCTAGAGTAGAAGATGAACCAGTAACTGATGATATGGTTGCACCTTTCCTTGAGCAGGAAGACTCTGAAAGAAAAATAGTTGGGGTGGGATTATCTATGGGAGATGAGAAAAAAATCAATTGTAAATCAGAAGATGAGGAAAAGGTTGAAGGACCTTGTGAGCAAGAGGAATGTTCAAGGAACTTGATAGGTCATCAGGAATTTATTGAGCTTAAGAAGAATGATACTCAAGAGGAGATTGAAAGTGAGGAGAAGATTGAAGTTTTCAGTGATCTAAAGGAATTTGAGTTGAGAGAGGATATGAAGTCCATTGAAAATTATAAACCATTTCATATTCATGACTTGGACTTGATGAGTATGAAAAGACAAATGAAGAACTGGAGTTGTGTGGAAGAGGGAAAGAACATGAACAAAGCTGTTCTTTTGGCTCTAAATCAGGAGACAGAACATTATTATCAGAGAGAAGGTTGTGAAAATAGGTTTGACAATATCCATATGCAGGAAATTCTGAAGAGTATTCTGGGCCATGCTGATGATGAGGAAAGATTTCGTGAAGTAATGACAAAGGATAGCGGCTCTGATGGAAATGAGCGAGTTGGAGATGCCAAAGAGGGTGAGATGAAACTCAAAGGAGTTTTTTATCTGACTGAAGAAACCGACAAAAATGATAGTGAGCCAGTAGAAATTATGAAAGTGATTGAAAGTAGCCTTAATTATGAGGAGAAAAAAGTCAAGGAAGCTCATAGAACCACAGAACTTGGTCCAAACAATGAGCTAGATGGTGATGACTTCAGCAAAACTGAAGCAGCTGCTGATACAACAGTTGAATGTGATAAAATTCCAGAAGTAACTCCTGAGGAATATTCTCATGATGAACAAGATGAAACACTGGTAGCAAGTAATGCTTCACTGCGGTATGAGGAGAAATGCAATGAACCAAAATCTCTTCAAGTGATTAATAATCTTGGGGAGAAACATGAACTTAAATCTTCATTGGCTCAAGGTGCCCTTCAACTCAATGAAAATGAAGCGATGACTCAAATGCAATATGCCAATGAAACAGTCTCCTTTGACCACCCTGCCACAAATACTGGTGACCCCCATGAAAATGTTGAGCAAAATCCTGGTGATTGCTGGAAAGAAGATGAAGATAACAGTAATTTGGCAATGGCTGTTGAAGAACCATCTGAATTGGGGGACGTATGTGAATGCATGAAGGAGGATGAAGATGATTCGAAGGGCAAGATAGATGAAAATCAATGTAACTCCTCTCATGAGGAAATCTTGGTTGACAATGAAAGGAATATGGAAGCATCTCAACCACCTGTGCCTGAAGGGAAATCTAGCACCATTGATTGTCAAGAGATTGAACAAGCTCACGGAAATCTAAAGAAGAATTATGAAGCATGCCTAACTATGGAAGAGGAGAAAGCAGATGAGACCTCACAAAAGGCAGAGCCAGATGCAGACCACCTCAAGAAAAATGAAGGAGCAAAAGAGAGGCAAAGAGAAAGAGAAAGAGAAAGAGAGAAAATAGCTGTAGAAAGAGCAATTCGTGAAGCTCGTGAAAGGGCATTTGCAGAGGCCCGAGAAAGGGCTACTCTGGAGAGAGCTGTTGGTGAAGGTCGTAGAAAAAATGTTTCTGATGGACGAGAAAGGCTATTAAAGACAACAGGTCAGGCAAATGATAAGACATCAGCTGAGAGGGCTGCTATGGAAGCAAAACTCAAAGCTGAACGTGCTGCTGTAGAGAGAGCAACTGCAGAGGCAAGAGCACGTGCCCTAGAAAGGGCACTGTCTGAAAAGGCTGCCTCTGAATTGAGAAACAAACCTGACAAGTTTTTCGCAGAGAAGTCTTTTGGTGGTTCCAGAGATAATGGAACGAAGACAAACTTTCACTCCAAATCTTTCAGCTATGGTGGTATGTGATTTTGGACAGTTCTGCCACAGCTGATCTGTCTCACTTCTTTTTTCGTTTCTTCATTTGCCATTTCAAATTTTATAGATCTTATACAAGTTTCATATTCTTGATGAACTTTCTAAATCTTCAGATACATTCGATGGAGCTAACGGAGACAGTGTTCAGAGATGCAAAGCTAGGTCTGAGAGGCATCAAAGAATAGGAGAACGTGTGGTATGATTCCTGGTTCTGCAGAGATTCTCATCTACAAAGTGATTACCATCTCACGATTCCTTTTATTCATTCTTTTTTCACTCCAGGCGAAAGCTCTGGCTGAAAAGAATGCTCGTGATCGGCTTGTGCAGAAGGAGCAAGAGGAGAGAAATGTAATATATCTGTTTTTGCATCATGTCCTGGTTGACTTTTTGTCTTATCTGTTTATAAACCTTGTAATTTTATCTTCTGGCAGAGGTTCGCAGAAGCTCTTGATGGTGATGTTAAAAGGTGGTCAAGTGGCAAGGAAGGGAACTTGCGGGCATTACTTTCAACGCTACAATATGTACGTGTAAACACTTTGTAATTAATATCAAATTTATCGTTCGCGTATACTGCTTCACATTATGTCTTCTAGGACGGTATACTCGATACGTGATAATTCCCAAGGTCATGTTTCCATTCTGGTAAAACTGTTAATCCTGATGGCGTGCTTTTACTATTATGGTGATTTAAGTGCCTTACTGTTAGTTTCAATTTTTGGCCTCTCTCAATAGATTTATCATGTCTCTAGATGTGTAATGAGAAGGATTCGGCAGCTACTGGATGCTTGCTTGTTTAAAATTATTTTAAATGGGATATTTTGTATGTTGCAGATACTTGGGCCCGATAGTGGTTGGCAGCCGATTCACTTGACAGATATAGTAAACACTACTGCTGTAAGGAAGGCTTACCGTAAAGCCACTCTTTTTGTGCATCCTGACAAGCTGCAACAGCGGGGAGCAAGCATTCAACAAAAGTATGTTTGTGAGAAGGTCTTTGATCTTCTAAAGGTGCGCCTTTCATCCCTCGTTCGTCAGCATGAATTATGGATACTTGATCATTGCTTAGCTTTATTCTCTATTCTTCCCCCAAACCAATTAATAGTGATGCTTACTAACATAATGATCATAATTGATCATAATTCCACAATTGGCTGGTCGATCTTCTTAAAAAGCTTGAACTGACTTTGAGGTTGATTACATTTCACCGTTATATATCTTTATAATATCCTCTATCATGTAAGAATTTTTCATGATTTGTTCAAGTCGTACATACATATATACTTACATATTGACATTATATTCAATTCAGTTTCTGAATGTAATTAACGCAAGTTTAGTGCTAAGGAGTTGAACAAATCACTCATAATCATTGTTTGAAATGTATTAAAGTGGATAGTAACTTTTTATTTATTTTTTGAATAATTTCTTGATAAATATTTTAACTATAAATAATTTTTTGAATAACCTCTAGTAGCTTTTTATTTATAGTTCTATCATTCAGATCTCCCTGGTCAATAAAAGATGAGAAAATATCGATTTGCCAGGCCTTGTTAGTATGAAATCTAGTGATGTTATGTATTTATCTCTTGGCATATTTGTCATCCCATGATTTAAACATGTGAAATACTGATATCATAGTGGAAGTAATAAATTTTGATGCTTAAATTCATCCCCAGGAGGCCTGGAACAAGTTCAACATGGAAGAAAGGTAAACAATTCTTAAAGCCCGCTCCATATGGTATGCAAGGAACGTGACCATTCTACAAACCAATTTTTTGTCCATTGTAAAGTGCAATCAACGCGCCAAAAAAGGTGTACTCCCAAAGCTGGGCAACTGTAAAATCTGCTATGTAAAAGTAGTTTTAGCCCCCTGTCTATATCTATTGATCTAATGGAACTTTTATTATGGATTTGTCAACCACCTTTTTACCCCCAAACGGAGCAAGCAGGCATATGATCGGGAAACAGAGTTCATGACACAACTAAGGCTCAAAGTCAATCATGTTAAAATGGACCCGTGACTGTGGACACTATCAGCATAACTGCATGCGATATTGCCCTTAGTAACTATGCTCTCAATGGCTTCATTCGCAACCTCCGCCCCTCTTTTTGCTGGCAGGCTATGCATGAAAAAAGGCTTTCGGGCTTGTGAAGCTCATTAAACTTCAGGCCACCTGTAAAAACACTTTTTTATATGCCCAACAAGCACTAAAATTCTTCAGTAATTCAATGCATAGAAGACACCCAGCTAAATAGTTAAAAGAAGTGAAGATGAAAAATAAGGGATGAAATAAGGGGAGGAAAACAGCCAGGTCCCCTAGCTTTACTAGAGAGCTAGACTTGGCCGCTCATTATTAGTTCAATCTTCTCTCTCCTTCATTCCTAGTCTATATCCCTCTTCTCCATTCTAGTTTGTTAGGCTTATGTTAGAGAAGAGATAGACCTATGTAGAGAAATTTCTTGGAATAAAATTTGTACCCTTGCTTCATTCCCTCTACCCTATTTCCTCGACCTCCAGAGGTCCTTCGACTCTCAGATTTTCCTTCCACTTTTTCCTCCAATGCCACACTTCAATTGGCCATAGCATGGAAGAAATTTCAAAACTGATTGAAATGGTATATAAGATGATAGAGTCAAAGTTGGTTGAAGTTATTGCTACAGTTATGGAAAGTCATTATTCAAAAGCTGAATAAGTGGGGTGTTAATAGAACTAATATCTAATTACATATTCAAATACCACATGTAATAAATTATTTTAATCTTTACTTATTTTATCTTGCCTAATTAATAAGATAATTGTATCATATCTCATATAAGCTTAAAAGTATTGACTATTTGATAAATAATTATTTTTTTTGTTTTATGTACAAAAACCAACTATAATTCTTAGATTAACATATCACAAAGGAAATTCATTTTATCTAATTAAAAGAGATTATTGAATTTTTTTTTTTACAAATGAAAGAGATTATTTATAAATTGTATATAAAGTATGAACTATGGATCATAGATACATGTTAAACTTATTCTTTCTATTTTATCTAATTAGTAAATTAATTTATAACATATGGTATCAGAATCTTCTGATACAACATGTTGCAAATCAATTGTGTAAAATTTTTTGTTTTTATTTTTTGAACAAAAAGACTAAAAATTAAAAGAAAATATAAAAGTTTATTCCTACATCCAAATTAGGCATTTGTTGAAAAAAGTCAAATGCTCAAAAACATGAAGTAGTACACCCTTCTTCCCCTTAAGAAGAATATGCATGAGTAAAGTATAATTGTTTCAAAATTTTGAAATGAAAAATTTCCCTTAAATGAAGTGTCATCATTAGGAATGGGGAAAATAAGTTTAAGAAAGATATGCAAATGATCAATATTTTTCAAGATTATTGATAAAATGGATAAACTATCAATTGGGAGAGGTGGAAGTGCTTAAACATGACATGAACGAAACTTGAACAAAGTCAATTTCAATAAAAGGTAACCTATTCAAGCATTGTTTAATGAATGTACAAATCTCTGTGAAACTACCTAATAAAACACCTTTATTACGTATTTTTCTTTATCAATTAGGACTATTTATAAAGTTTTATTATGTCAAAGTGAACACACGTTACATTAGAATTGAAAATTTGTTTAAGTATTTAGATTTTATACATTAGGGGTCTTTTGGGTTTAAAAATGAACTTATGAGAAAATGTATGAAAAAAATTAAAAAATGTATTTTAAGTGTAGAAGAAAAGTGGTCAAATTAGATTTCAAAAATTTATTTTAATTTGAGAGTAATTAAATAAAATTCAATACTTTTCATTAACTTTCTTAAGTGTGCTTATTCGATATAGTTTTGAATTTGCATTTGTGTGAAAAATTTTGTATGATTTTATGCACCCAAAAACTTTGATATAATAATAAATTCTCTCTTTTAAATATGAATACAAAGCTACACTTTAATTAGATTTTATGATGTCACATATTATTTAATTAAATTATGTATATTTTATGACATAGGTGACATATGACTTATGTATCAATTGGGTAAATGAGGTCAAAACTACTTGGAGCCAAATCTGATTCATTTGGGGCATGCATGGGCTACCATTGGGTGGAGTAGATCTAATTAAAATGTGGATGAAATATGAGATTAAGTTGACATATATTGAAATTATCTATAAGCCAATAGGAGCATACTACCTTGCAAGCCTCTTCCATGTGACTTGGTCCCATTTGCATTTTAATTTTTTTTTGTTTTATTTTATTATTTGGAGCTAGGGCCAAACACAATATTCATGTCCTCTTTCATATTTTTTAGATCAAATTCATTTATTCAAGCCATCTTCTTCCATTCTCTCTACCTTCTCTCACTAGTTCTTCCATTGTTCTTCATCTTCCACCCAATTTTTTCCATAATTTCTCACTCAAATCACTACAACACACACCAATCTTTCCCTCTCCATTAGTTCATCCATTCCTGTCAATTTTTCTTAAGTTGCAAAGCTTCAAATTCGCATTCCAATAGTTAAAGAGTTGGACTACATCATGAAGATCAAGAAGACCATAGAGATGGAGACAAGGAGCTAAGCACATTGGAGGAATCCTAGAGAGAGGAAGATGAAGGATGAATCATGAGAAACTTTGGCTAAGCTTTTCTTATTTCCTAACCTTCTCTTTTAACTTAATGATTAGATATCTTAGCTGAGAATTTGATTGTTATAGCCTTGTCATTCTAATTTAAATTTAGTCTTTGTATAAAGAGAAGATGTTGGTGACATTGAATTCTCTCTCATTTGTTCTTGGCTTAATTCAACCACTTGATGATTAATGCATATAATTGTGTTTTTCATTTAGTAAATTGGTTGCTTTAATGTTAATTACATAATCTTGTGAGGTTTATGCTTGTTCTTGAGTAGCTTTAGATAGTCTTATGGTTGTTCATTTCTTTGCATTTGGCCATGTCACTTGAGGGATGAATTTGATTGTCTCACTTGGCTAACACTTGCACCAATTAGTAAAATGAACTAAAGACTTTAATCTAAGATTTGGAAAATTGAACTAGTTAGGCTATTTGGCTTAGGATAGTTGTCTTAGGCTAACACAATTTGGGCAAGAGGAAGAAGAGAGAACTAATTGGCTTAATTCATCAAGAAGATAAGGACTCCAACATTAACCAATCTCTAGGGTTCCAACTCTTTAAAAAGAATTTCCAACTCACTCATCTTAGCTTAGAATTTAGTAGTTTTAGATAAATCAATCTCAACATTTAGTTTCACTTATTCACTAGTTAACCTCAAGATTAGATTAAGCTACTCTTAAAAAGATGACCTAGGTTGACCCTTTGCTACATTTAGGGTTGATTCTAGTAACTATTTTGGTTAGGTGTGTGATAGCTTGATCACTACCCTAATGAATCACAAATATATGTTAAGGTAGAGTTCTGGTGTGATCTCCTAAGCCGTTGACATTTTTTTCGAGCAGCTAGCAATCTTAATTTTCACCATTTTTAATATGGTATAAACATGGTATGCATGTGTTAGATTATGTGTTTTGATTATTACAAAACTAAGAGAAAATATATTTGTTATGTGTGGAGATATAAAGAATTATAGATGAAGACAAAACCTCACCAGCATGAAGAATCAAGAGATGATGAAGAAGTTTAGGATAAATAATTTAAATTCTCTTAGATTCAATGAAGTTTAGCCACTTGTAATTTGTCATTTGTTGAACAATCACACTTTATTTTGTTGAGTCTTAAATCTTTTCAAGCCAAGCTAAAATTATTCATATGTATGATCATTGATTCATAAATATATATCTCTTGGTCATGTAAAATATTGATTGAGTTATACATTGTTCCACGTGTGAATATGCATCAGACAAGTTTATGCATTAATGCTTGCAATTTCACACGTGATATTATTCTGGTTCCACATGAGTTTTTATCACATAAAATGATTTTGGCATTCTGGCAGCTAGTTCACGCATAAGAGAGTAGAGGTTCCATGCATGTTTTGTCACACAAAACTGATGATAGGTCATTATGTACAAAACCACGCATAAGAGCAAATGGTGCACTCGCAAGTTTTAACACTCTGATATATTAGTATATTCATAAATGCAAAACCACATGAGAGAGCAATATGGTACCATACGAGTTTGAGCACACAAAATTGAATGATTATTTAGAAGTACAAAATCACATGTGAAAGGACAAGGTATTCACGCGTGATTCATCACATTCAATTTTTTTGAAACTTTTTCAGTGTAAAATCATGTGTGATTATACCAGTAACTCACAAAAAAATGCACCAACATATAGAATCATTATTCTAACAGTCTGTCAACTTTCAAAAGCTATATAAGTGATTTATTGTGAACCAGAACAAAAACTAATGATCTTTAAGTGAATATATTATCATTTATGCATTTAAAAAGTTTTTAAATTGTGCTTTTACTTATTACATTCATTTATTATTCTTAAAAAGAATTGTGAAAATCTCTCAAAGGCTTATAAGCTTTCATTTATATTCTCACCTACTCTTTAAGAGAATTTTCTGTAAAATGCTTATCTTATGTTCTCAAAAATTTTGAAAAGAAATTTTTCAAGTGTCTGTAGTAACTTGCTGGATCGTAGCAAGGACTGTTAAGTGAATCAAGACAATATCAGTCTTAAGAGCTGTATTGTGGTGGCAAGAACCTGGTGAAACTTGTGATTTTAGTTGAAAATCTCAAGTGTGATTTTGAGGACTGAACATAGACCAAGTTTGTGACTAAATCAATATAACTCTCAAATGTGTTATCTACTTTCTTTACTCTTTTGTTCTTTACTCTTTTCAAGTTTTTAAAAGTTTTTAAGTGTCACCCATATTCACCCCCTTCTTGGGTGCTAACCTATCCTAATAGCATGGATGTAATT